AAACTAGATTCATTTTCTTATCAGAGAAGATACTGTTGAAGAAAATCCAAGCACTTTTACTGTCCTAAAAGGTGATGACAGGGACAAAAAAAATTTTTTAAAAAAACACACATCATTGTAAAATCAATACATTCATCGTTCCACTCAGAATCTAAAAGACTCCAATCAACCAATTTATTTTCAACGTCGAAGAACAAATCAACAAAATGGTAGGTACAAAACGTATTCGGCGATTTTATCGAATCAGGTGTAGGTAATGGTGGCTGAATCACATCACTGACGTGATTTCCAACTCAGATAAAAACGACCGGCTGGAAGCTGAAATCGACAGCGTCGTTGAAGGATTAGTTGAATCATTTTGGTTGTGTTATTATATTATTTATTGCGTCGTCTATAGTGGTGAGGCGCCGTCAGTAGGGTCGCATCCAATCGAATCCACTGACTACTGAGACTTCTGAGGACGGACCGCTGGGGCTGGGCGACGCGGTGCAGGACATTGATGAAGAAGAAAACATGCCGGCTAAGGGAGCTGAAGTATTCAACATTTTCGGTGCGTTAGTTGGCTGATTGATCAACAGTCAAGACTCATTATTTATCTTGACTAGGTATTGACTGCAATTATTTTCAAATAACCTGAAGGCTGAAATCATGTTCGTTTGTAAAGTAAATCCGATGCGATTCACAACTATTGCAAAGCCCGGCAAAGGTAACATTTGGTGGTACAATATGATATATTTTATAATTTTTACTGCAACTCCCGAAGTTCAAATACTCCTTAGCCGAAGACATCGGACTTGATGATAGCAGCGACGTAAAGCCGTAAAGGTTAATCGACATATCGGAAGATACGTGAAAGAGCACGGACGGTGCCCGGCGCTAGGTCATCCACTCACGTTCTCCGAACACCCGCGGCTCGACGGGTTCGTGGGCGTAACGCGCTCGGCCGCCGATGACGCTCTGGTTCGGTCGCGTGGAGCGATGGACGGTGGCGACGACACGGCGGCTAGCGGTACCGGCGCGGGCAACGATTCCGACGACGATGGCGCGACTCGTTATGCGACTGCACCGACGGAAGATGCTCAGGGCGAGTGGTCTGAGACAATGCGATAGGAACAAGGATGACTCAGCGGCGATGGACCCACGGAAACACTCGAACGTTTCAGGGTCAGGCGGAGGTCATTGGACGAATACGTGGCCGAAGGGATACCGCCAGCTGGGATAAAACTAAAGCTGACTATTGCCTTTTCGCCGCGCTTTTACGGTTTTCGCTGTAATTTTTCCCCCTCACTGAATCTAGTTTATTCACTCTCTACGTGACTATATTGAGTCTCCACCATACGCGCTCGTCAGAGTCGTTGCCACTATAGCCGGCCCACATTTGAGGTTAAATAACTCAAAAATATAAGAGGGCGGGGGGTTAAGCACCCAACACATTATTGTGGAAGCAAAACCGTGACGTGAGGACTGAGGAGCTTTGCTCTTCACACTCTAAGTATATTTATACTCCTCCTTAGGTATATCCGTTACATTTGATATCTCTAATTAAAGATTTAAATCAATATTGTATAGGGCTGTAAATTTGTAGGAAAATTCATTCTTTTAAGCTTAATATGTAAGAAATAACTTTCTTAACACAAAGTTTGAATTATAGATGACAACAAAATCAATTTAGAATCTTTTTTAGAATTTCAAGAATTTTTTTCCTTTTTTACTATTTATTGGTGAATTTTTCATTCTTTACCTTTTTTGATATTTTTCCAAATCCTATATTTTATTAAAAACTTTTTATTCATATTTCTTGAATTATTTTTTAATTTTTGTCATACATTTTCATTAATTGTTAAAAATAATTAAAAATATAGTTTTTTTTTCTTAATAAAACTTGACAAATTTGAATAAGTTTTATATTTTGAATTAATTTTTCAGGAAATATGTACCTATAGTGCATTTGAAAGTGAATTTATTGAGATTTAAAATGCATAATTCTTATGTTTATCATTGCATTAAATTCACAGCCATAATCATTACAATTTATGTGTTTTTAACACTTTAGTTTACACTTAAGTTTGGTTTCACGTCCGTCTGTGATCAAATCTTGCGCGCTCGATTTGAGGCACTTTTTGAAGATGAAAAATTCTGAAAATTGGTATAGACCTTGGTCTTGGATGACAATACAATAATCCGTAAAAAAATTTTTTTAACTAAAAAGTAGAAAATAAAAAATAAAATTTTTTTTTTAAAAAACACTTTTCTAAAAAAACAAAAAAACAATGAAAAATTTAAAAGTGTGTGGCGCTCTTACACTTGACATATTATACCACACACTTTTAAATTTTTCATTATTTTTTTGTTTTTTTAGAAGTGTTTTTTAAAAAAAATTTTTTAATTTAAGTTATAATATAATATATAATAATAATAATAATAATAATTATATTATAATTTATAATATAGAATATAGGTAGTCATCATCGTCTTAAGGGCAAAAAAAGAATGTGTAACAGGTATAGAAAATTTATTAAAATAAAAAAAAATACAATGCATTTTTTATATTTTTATATATTATGTCATATTATATTTGGTTCTCAAAAATATTTAGTTAAATATTTTGTTAATTGGAAATTCGTCGAAACGAGCATCTGTCGTCAGTCGTTTAATTTTATTTTATTCGGTACATTTTTGTTGTAGTGTTGTCATTTTACAGAATAATACAATAAGGAAAAAACCCATAGTAAATACTACATTCTTTGGAGTTGTACGTGATTTACTTTTAAAAATATTAATTTTTGATAAAAATAGGTGGTAATAACTTTTTCAAATTAATAAAAAAAATTTGTACATTTCTGGTTTAATTGTGTACGTTGGTTGATAGAACACTTAAATAGCTTTAAGATAAAAAAAAAATTATGTCAAAATGTTGATTAGTTTTGAAGATACTTAAAAAAATGTGTGTAAGGTTTGGTTTTAATAAAAAAAAAAGTTAACTGCCCATAACTTAAAAAATAAAAAGTTGGACCCACTCTTTAAAGGGTATTCTTCATCATTTTGGGTATACTTTCATATGACGTCGGCTGGTCACTTCACCCCGGGACACATTGTATAATACATTGATAGGTACTAAAGTCTAAAAATTAAAATATTAAAATAGTATTTGTGTAGGACAGCTGGCCATCGGAAAATTAATTTATAATACCTTCATATTATTATAATATATTCGTACTTAGTAGTATATATACAAAATTATTTAAAAACTATAAAAAAAAATTATAATTTACCGAGTGCCAACTCAAATACTTAATGTATCAATGTGCCAACTGACATATACATATTGCACGCTTAGGGGGTGGGACTCCCCTTCGGGACGGCCATGGTTAGATCAAGAAAATGCAACAAAACAGTAAAAAGTGAATTTAACATTTTTTTTTTAATTATAAAATACTAAAAACTAATATAGCCATGTAGATACCAGCATTGCAATTACAACATAATTTAAAATTAATACAAAATATTATAAAAAATTTAATATAATTGGTACTAAAACAAATGTACCTACATTAAGAAATAATATGTTACTCAAACAGCCATATAGATAGGCGATAATCAAACCAGAAATATCCAAGTTGAAGATGTCTACTTGACTACTTGTAGTCCATAATCTACACATAGTACATATTTTAGTATGAATACAGTTATTAATTAATATTGAATACCTACTTAACATTTTATTTTGTAGGTATTGATGAAAATATACATTATTTAAAATTTAATGATAGTCTTGTTATGCGAACCAACAAGTTTGCGTAGGTACCTGAAATAAAATAAATTGTTCATTGCCATTAATTTGATCATTGATTGTGACCTACCTACTAATTAATCGACTAACCTCATGCATGATGATTATTGATACCCACAGTGGCGCCCAACACTATTACTGGGTGTAGTAGCGGTCGCTACACCTTGAAAATAAGGGGTGGGTGGGTATAATAACATAAAATAATCAACTTGAAATATATTCATAATTAATCACAGATTATATTGGTTAATACCTTAATATTTAATAATATTATCAATTAAAATATGATAAAAAGTATAAAATAATATAATTTTGAGTTTGTGACGGGGAGGTGAGTAAAATTTTTTTTTGCTACACCTAAAAAAATGTCTTGGGCGCCACTGGATACCCATATAGACATTTTAAAATTCTTTACAGTTTCCATGTGTTAAAAATTACTAATTGTACATATTATTATGTATCGTTATGTATAGTTATTAATTGATAACTTTTAATGATAAAAAATATATAATTAAACCAAAACCTTAAATATGACATTTTGTTTGTTTTTTAAACTCATATTTCAAATCTGATTAGGTCATATCGGTACAGTAGAATCCGTTTAATTGAGGCATCCCATAAAGATGACAACTGTTTAGTCGGAACGAATTGGCAAATGTATTTGGTTTATAGGGACTGTCGGATAATAGGGACAAATGGATCACCAGTGCCCCAATTAAGCGGATTCATAGTATTTATATTTATAAATCTATTTTTTGGTAATTACCTATTCAATAATATTTAATTAAGTATATGTTGACCTCAATAAATAAGTTCTTCATTGAAAAGATATTAGAGAACAATTTAAAATGAGTCCTTATAAATATTTTTCTTTAGAATCTTGAGATCTTTGCATATATTAACATATTTTACTCATTAAAAATTATAATACTCATTCTTTGTTTTGAAGAGCACAATAATTAGTTAAGTGTGAGATTTGTTTTTAAAATAATATTTATGATAGGGGAAAACTAAACATTTAAAGAATTGATTTAAGGTATTGGAAATAATTGCTAAATAATATAAAAACAACACCAGACATTTGTATTATTTATACTAGGTGTGTAATACAATTTTATTCATGACATATTTATATAAGAACAGTTTGGTATATAATTCATAATATTTAGTATTGGTTTTCTTGAGAATCAACCAACGCTTACTTATTTCATTATTGAGCTTGAACATTAGGAGGTGGATTGCTCATCATAGGCGGTCTCATATTGGGCGGCATCGGGGGCATCATTGGTGGCGGTGCACCCATCGGCATCTGTCCCATGGGTGGTCGCATCATTGGCGGCATGGACATCATTGGCGGTGCGCCCATGGGCATCTGTCCTGGCGGCATGATCGAACCCGGTGGCATAGACATTTGTGGTGCCGACTGGCCCATGTTCGGTGGCGGTATACACACTCCCTTCATGCCGATCTTGCCGGCTTTGTATGCAGCTGTTGTGGCATCGATCAGGTTCTGTGCCTGTTCCTCCATCCACTTCTGATAGTAAAATTTGACGTTATCCTTGTGCTTGCGGCCCTGGCAGTGAGTCTTCCTCACCGACGGCGAATCGTGCGTCAGGTACGTATCGCAATAATCACAATAGTATTTCGGCATGGCTGTGCGGTACGCCACTAACAAAAACAGAACAATTGTTTTCGTTAATCGTAACTATATACGACCGTACGAATTAATAATAAACTGAACTAACGAGAAACTGAGAACGAAAAAGAACAATATTATGTCAATATTACGAATTTTTGTTTATCGCTTTTATAGTTTTATACTTTTATCCGTGAACTGTGAAGTGTGGACCGCGTCGCCGATGATAACTATCACGTTTTCCACTATGGCCAACTGACGGAACTACGTGAACCGCGTCAGAATAATAAGAACATATTAATATATACATTTTTTTAATTTATTGAATTAAGTTACGTGAATTGAGTTACGTAAATTATTCTGTATACTGTATACAGTAGTTATTTCATCTATTCTGTGGTTATACAATATTATTATTTCATAAGTATGTTTTTAATGTGTCGAATGTTCGATGTTGTGAATTGGTGATTAACAAAAATAGTAATATTACTAGTAAATATTGCAGTATACCACTTAAGTATATTGTGTGACGAGGGCGGAAATTGCCTGGAAAAATGTTTAGTAAGGACCGTAGTATAGATTTCAGTGTCTGTGCAGATAGGATACCCGTGATATGTGAGCTAAGTACTTTTGGGGTTTTCCGCTTTACCGTCCGCTGGACGGAAAAAGATCGCTTTCCAAAGCTTTAAACGTCATTGAAAAATAAACTTTGGGTGCAGGAGTGACAAAAAAATATAGGTATTCAAAACTTTACGTATTTACGATTTTATACCATTATTATTAAGATCGATAAATCGTATATTTTATATTTTTATCATCAGATATTTTTTTAGTTTCTGACTACGTTTAAGTGGTAACCCATATTTTCAATTTCATATATTTTATCAGACAGAAATCGACTGTGAAAAGATATTTAATTTAGGAATTTAAACAACAAAAGCGTTACCTTAACACATAGAAATAATATATTATATGATATTATGTTCGAGAAGCGAATGATACCGCAGCCGTAACAATCGACGATGTTAATTATTTACAGTAAAACCGACAAAGAACGTGTTGGAAACAGCTCAAGAACTCGGAGCCAGCGAGTTTGTCCGGTACGTCCGGCAGCACGGCTTGTACGATTCGTTGACCAGTGGCGGCCCGTATACGATATTCGTTCCCACCGACGAAGCTTTTTCCGTACATTGACTCATATATTTTTGCTATAGCAATGGTGGGCAAGTTAATGAAAATAATTAACTGTGGCAAGTTAAGTTAATTCAATTAAATTGCCTTCAGTTAAGTTAAAAGTTAACAAAGAAAAAAATTTAACTAGATAAGTTTAAAGTTATGATGGAAAATAAAATTAACTTATCTTAGTTAAAACAAATTAATTTTTTTGAAGGTACAATATTTTTAAGTCATAAACTACCATAGTATTTTATATACACAAACATTTACCAAGACATTTAACACTGTGTAAAAAATTAAATTATTATAATTTATAATATATAATTCGAAAATGAATTACCAAAACTGTAAAAAGTCGAAGAATCAGTATTTCTTAGTTGATTACGCATGACTCAAAAGAAAATTAACTTAACTGCTCGACAATGATAATTAACTATAAAAAGTTAAGTTACAACAATAAACATTTTAACTGAATAAGTTAATAAGTTAATAAGTTAAAAACAAAAATAATTAACTAGTTAAGTTAAAAAGTTAAAAAAAAATTAACTTTTTAACTTAACTTTAACTTTTTAACAAGTTAATGCCCACCTTTGTGCTATAGTATATTATTATTATATTGTGAAAAATTGCTACAAAAGCCGATGCATGTCATTCTGGTAAATTAGAATTAATCTTATTTTTTTTTTATTTTGTGTGTGCGCGCGAATGTAGAAAATGGATAACGCGCATCGGTCGGCCATGGAGTCTTACGAATCGGCCATCGAGATACTCAGATACCACGTGGTGCCCGTGAGGATCGTGACACAAAACGTATCTTCCAACGAGATGTTGAACACGTTGAACGATGGACTTCAATTGAGGTTTAATAAGTACTCAACAAAAGTGAGCAACATTTTCCGAGTAACATAACAGTTTCAATAATATTATATTACTCATATAACTCGCTTCACACAGCGGGCAGAGGTACAGAATATCAACGAACAATATTAATTCAGCTAATGAAATTCTGATAAATCGAGTTTTAAAATATTAAAGCTGCAACTTGTGTAATATAAATTTTAATTTACATAAGGAAAATATCAATTAAAATTTAACTTATAACAATATCAGAATAGATATTTACATTTATAAATACCTAACCTATTACCTATAACATTATCAAACGTATACCGAATTATATTACAATTAAAAAAATATAATAATATATTCAAAAACTTACAGTACCCTCCCCACAGTTCCTCAGGCTAATGACCTCAGTTTTCGAAGCCTCGACCCCCCTCCCAAAAAAAAAAAATAATATTAATATACCTACGCACATTATGAGTTTTAATTGTGAAAACATTAAACAAAATTAGTATGTATAAACATTTATCTTGAACACTTTTAAGTATTCTAGTCTTTCATTATATTATAATTCATAAATATATATATAGTATTCGAATGACGAATAAAGATTTTAAATGTTAATACATTGGATTTTATAGATCGAAACAATAAATTGTGTTACGATACTGCGTAAAAACCGAATTGCTCAAAATGGAGTGGTGCATTTGATAAGTTCCGTACTAAGTCCTTACAGTTATTCAAATCGAAATTTGATGCAAATTATCAACCAGGTCTGAGATAACTTAATAGGTTTTTTTTACAAAAACGAATAAATAGAACCTTGAAAATGAACCTTGCGTCTTTCTAGAATCAAGACTTAACAATATTTTCAAAAATGCTCGAAGTTTCGCGTATGCATCAAAGTTTAAAAGAAACATTTCAAACACTCACAGTTATGGTGCCAACCGATATGGCATTACAAAGATTTCCGCAAAATCAACTCAGAAGGATATTGAGTGACGAGACACTTAGCAAGGGTACGTGTGAAATTGCATAACAATATTATATTGTAAATTGTTGCTACTGAACGTCAATTGCACGTCATAAGTAGGTATACCTATATTTACATTTTTCTGAAAAAAATAAAATGAATATTTGATTTTATAAACCAATAAAATTCATAATAAAAAAAACCAGTAACCCTAAGAGTTCGTATATAATAGGTACATTATAATATAATGATATGTTAAAAAAGTCGCATGTCGCATATAATTATACAAAGTAATAAGTATTAGCAGAAGTATTATTTTTATTTATTTCAAACGCATATTTTCTATTTGAAAATGTTCTTTAGCGTTTGTGTTAAAGCACATATTACCGACACCTATTTGTTTGAGTGCCGTCACCGAAGATCAGTACGTCAAGAGTCTGGCGGACAGCAATAATTACGTGAAATTCAGCTGCGATGTGAAGCACACTGTGACGGCTCAAGGAAACTGCATCAACAACGATTTGAAATTATCGTCCAACGGAATTATTTACGCAATAAACTTTGCACTGAGCTCCGAAGAAGGTATATTGATTAATACGAGTATTGCATGTGTAAGCAAAACATAGAGTGTATCGCAGATTACAGATAGTATAAAATAATATTATAACACAGTTCATTTTCATTAGGAATAAAAAAAAGTAATACCACCTATATGGCTATATAAATTATATATATTCGTATGATGTATAGCCACATTTGCATTTTTTGAATTCCTATAAGATTGAATGTACAATATATTATATTTATTATATACTTAACGCGGTTTGCAGGGAAATCGGCGTTGCAGATCATGCAGCATTTGGGTCTAAGCGAATTTGTTCAGATTGTCAACATCGCCGGTCTCGCGCAGACGTTTGAAAATTTTAACTCATTAACCGTTTTTGCACCGACCAACAAAGCCTTCAGATGTAAGTCACCGCAATAATTATAAATACACCCATATTGTATTATGTGTCTATTGAGTATTCTTCACGCGAACACATAGTATAAATTATTATAAGTTATAACCCGGTTATATAACGACTGGTACGTGTTTTCCAATGACGGATGACGTATATCCTACGTACCTACCTATAAAGTGTGCGTTCGTGTGTGTCGGGTCTGTGTGTGTGTATAAATATTTTGCAATTGACCTGACGTATAGGTATGAATCCTATGGAAATGTATCACATCCGGTCCGACCCGAGTGCCGCCCGAGCGTTCGTAGATTTTCACGTCGGGAGACAGATGATGACGGCCGAGAACATTTACGACGGGAAAACCGTCGAGACCTTTGCTCCCGGGAAGCAACTCCGTCTGCAGTGCGTCCAGAACGAGTTCGGTGTCGAAGGACGTCGGATTCACTTTCAAACCGTGCTAGGCTACAACGGGGCCGTTCACGTCGTCGACCATGTATTGTATCCGCCGACGATATCCGTCGAAGACCTGATCAGGAAAAACGATAGTTTCAGGTATAAACTATAATAAGGATGTGTATACTAAGAATAGCTCCTCGTCGCCGGTGATTGCACCAACGAATGAAAAAATTGACTCTAAAAATATTTTTTAATATTATTATAACGTATTTAACGCGATGACCGAAGTTAAAATTGAAAACATTTAAAGTGCTCGCGAGTACAAAGATATATAATATTTAAAGCTTCGCTGGTCGCCATCCTGCAACGCGTCATAATATTCTGCATAATTAAATAATATAAATTATAAATTAAGCTCTATGATACTATAAACTATTAGAGGCAAAATTTGAAACAAAATATTGGCTAGATATTGCAGTAAAGTAATGTATATTATATTATATTGTATATAAAAAACGCTAACCAAAGTAGTTTTAAAACTGTTTGAAACTTCACTCATATACTTTTTGGATTTTCAAAATTTTGAGAATAATTTAGGTTAAGCTCAAAAAGAAAATAGGTTAAATAATAACACGAAGTGTAACTATTATATTATATTAATTTGAAATAAAAATAACTACATCATATTATTATATTTTGTCAACAATTAAAATTACATGTGTGATAAAAACGTTTGAGGACCGCTGCAGCATATTCCGATATCCCTCCCATATAGTAGTAACTCCACTACAGCAACAATATAGTGCAAGCCCACCCAATATCGACCAACTGACGTGCTAATTAACCGAGATTTTAAATGCGCTTTTGGCGATTCAACAGTTTGTACGCGCAAGCGATGGACCTGGTGCTGGGCGCTTCTCCGGGGGGTCGGACGCCATTCGAGTTCTGCAGTGGCGTGCACAATACGTATTTCATACCCACGGACTATGCGTTCAGGAAACTCGGGGCCGTCGAATTGAACAGGTTGTTCGGCAACCCCACACGCATGCGACAAATCCTCGACAACCACCGGGCCGGTCGGATCCTGCCGTCGGCGTTGATCGGCACGCGTCAGCAGTACGAGATAAAAACGAAAAACGAAATCGTCCGCGTATCCAACGAAGACGACAAGTTTATGGTATGAAGTCCATTATAAATAATATGTGATTAAAATAATACAGTTAATATTTTGATGCTCGATCAGTCGAGCTGCCAATACTATATATAATAGATAGTGTTCAAAAACAATTGCCTAGTTTAATAGATTGAATCTTTACTATCTAAAAAATGGCTTTTCGATACCAATAGTTACATCATTTTAGCAACCCCTACATTAGTTTTAATTAATTTATCTCTAGTTGCGGGCAATTTAAGTATATTATTTGCAAGCTTCCTGCGTCGTTTTTATTTTGTAGATATTTAAATATATATAATTATATAAAAACAATATTGACATGGAGACTTTAATAATTAGTATTTAGTATAAATGTTATAAACAGGTCAACGAAGCTGAAATAATTGAAACGGATATAATTACGACCAATGGGCTGGTCCACGTGGTCGACGATCTGATTTTACCACAAAACAGACGGAGAAGCGAATGAATGTCGACTTCACAACCTATATTATTATTATATAAAATCAAAAAATAGTAAAATATTAATTTAGTTGACCATTTTATAGTCTGCATTTACACAATTAGGCATCAACAATATTAACTTAGTTTAGCTGTAGGTAAATATACCTAATTATTTTCAATAAATTATTATTATGTTAAATTGTTAACTTATGAATTTAATTTTAAGTTAATAAAGCACATGTTATAATTAACGAAATTTCGTATTTCTATAAAAAATTGTTTTTTATTAGTTTAGACCATAGAGTAATATTACTCTATGGTTTAGACGTGTATTGTCTAATGACGAAAGAAAACCGTAAAAAAGTGAAAAATTTCATATAATACATAATATATAGGTACATACAAGTCATTATAGCGAGCGACGCCACACTCCTATGACGACCGTTGGTCTTTGTCGCTTATCTATTACTCTTCCGCTAAAAATGTATAGAGCCTTTTTTGTCACAAATTTTACGATCTTAAATTTTCATAATAGCAATTTTTATCGTAAATTTAATAATTTTAGAGATATTGGAAAAAAGATAGCCGGTAGGCTGCTAAGACATTTGTTGACTTTGCAGTCAAAACAATTGATGAAAAGGAGCTCCATGATATTGAAATATAGAAGAAAAACTTTCGAAGAAACGCAAATGCAAAGTTGTTTGAATTCGTGATAAAGAAGTACACACAGAAGAAATTGATCAATTTCGTATACAAATATTTTTGTCACGCCTGCGCCGAAAGTTTGGTTTTCGATAGCGGTTGAAGCTTTGGAAAGCGTCCTTTTTCCGTCCAGCTGGTGGTAAAGTGGAAATCCCAAAAAGTATTGTTCGCAAATATCAAGCGCATATCGCTTGCTAGTGCGAGAAAACAATTTCAGTCTTGGGCGAAATAGCTCACTTCCCGCCCTTGCCACACAATATACTATTAATTATACAATAGACACTATTATGAATAATTTAGATCTACGATTTTTATCTCGTCAGATTTTACATACGGATTTAGATCAATTTCTTATACCAAGATTCCATGGTATAAGAAAAAATTGTTTATCATCTAAAATCAGGGGCGCATTAAGGGTTCACATATGGGGGGCAAAATTATTTTGCGCCCCTGGTGTATTTTATGAATATTAATGAAAGTATAAAAAACTTAAAAAAAATTTCCTCGCTGCGCTCGAAAAATTAAGTTAGTACCTTACATTTCATACAGTTATTATACCTACATAGATATCTTATTAAATTAATTACTAAATATCTATTTGGAACTTGGAATAATAATCCTTTCTTTTAAAATAGTACTGGTAATTGGAATATTTATTATGTAAAATGTTTATATTTCATTAACTAATAAATACCTCCTAGTAAGCAACTCCTATATTTTAAGTTATTTATGGAGTACCTATGTATTAAGCATTGACTTATAATAATAAATATATCTTTATTCTTTATTAACAATAAAATATTATTACATATTATAAAACTATTTAAATGACAAATACGGAACAATACTAATTAAAATATTTTCTTATTTTTTTGTTCACAAACTCTTTTATAATACTTGACCAATCAATACTTCTAATCGTCTCATTTTCTATTGACAGCCATAGGCGCACATTGGGTGTGAATTCAGGGGGTGCTGGGATAATTTATGGTTCACACCTCCTAATCATAATATTTCTGCATTGCATTAGATTTAATTTGTATAGTGTATACAATAATTTCTAAAGTGCAATGTATCAAATAGTCTGTATGATTGTAAAGAAGACGCTAGGTACGCTAGGTACACCCACATGTGTTGTCTCCGTATTACAGACGTAGGTACAACATAGGCAAAACTGTTTTGCACGGGTATAAAAACATTCAGGCTCTACTCTAAGCTAAGAAACTAAATGTTCACACTATAAAAATGAGAAAATTTACTCAGTAACTTTGTTTTTATATTTCCGATATCAAAACCAAAATAAAAGTTATTTAAGTTTGATAAACAAAAAAAGGTGCTCTGCTGTACAGTAGGGTACAAGTGGGTCCCTGTATAATCGATGGTATTAAATTTGAATTCAATGATATACTAACATCATTGTATAAGAAAAACGATTCTGAGCGAAGACGGTTAGTCAGCCTATGATTTTACTAAGTATATTTGATGATACTAAGGTGAATAAAGCAATTTATATATAACCTATTTACGTAGAATCTTGTTTTATATTTTCAATCATTAGCTATAAAAGTTGAACATTTTATAAATTTTTAACTATAAAATTATTATTAAATTTTAAATGTGATAAATTTTGTCAAAATTTGAATTTTAAATAATTATTAAAAAAAATTGTGCCTATGTATTTTTAATATTTGTCAAGTGTTATTGTAACAATATATCAGGAGGTTTGCATTAAATTTTCAAGCTTTTTTACCATACAAATAAAATTTTATTGATATGAATAGAAAAAAAAATTAAAATATTGAAAACTGAAAATGTCCGTAAATAGCTCAAAAAGAATCAAAATATTTTCAAAACTATATGGTGTATAGGAAATGCTAATATAAAAATTTAGTAAAATTTTCAAGTATCTACAGTCATTCGTTTTTTAATTACAACAAAATTAGAAAATCGTTACACGAGTGAATATCAAATGTTGTAAAAATATGAATTTCAAACGTTCATAAAAATTTAATTTGAGATTCTTGTAGACATTTTTTTTTTTTGATAAAGGTAGACAAACTTATGAGGAATCTCGCATTACATTTTCATATCTTAGATTTAAAAAGAACATTTTTTATGAATTTCTAACTCGAAATAATTTGCAAATTTTCGTCATTTTCACGTATTTTGTCAATATTTGGAATTTAAATGCTTATAACAATTTGACCCCCTCAAAGTACCAACTAGATTCACTTTCCTATCAGAAAAGATACTGTTGAAGAAAATCCAAGTACTTTTAATGCCCTTAAAGATGATGACGGACAAAAAAAAAATGAATTCGTGAATTCGTAAACAGTTGTCAATATTTGTAATGAAAAGAAAAATTCCGAACCAATAAACCACGATAGTTTATAAATGATTGGTGAAATACTGAAATAAACTGAGGGAGCTAGTTTGAAGCTTGCATATAAATGCCCATCTCATACTATGACATAATTTTATATACATAATTTATAACGTTTAATAGTACATTAGTATGATAGTTCTAATTATTATTAGTTGTTTCTTAAACCCGAGTTTTCCATTATGTCATACAATTTGTATGTTTTCTTTTTGACTCTGAGATACAAAAAAAAAAAAATTACAAAAATGTAGCGCCCCAAAAAAACTTCCGCCCGGGGCAAATGCCCCTTTTGCCCCCCCTTGATGCGCCCCTGTCTAAAATGCGTTGGTTAAAATATGTGAACTGTTAGTTGTGTTTAACATCTTCAGGCGGTAGTTTGTAAATAAAACATACATAGGTAGACACCATTTTTTTTAATTTGGTAGCGGATATATAAAAATATAGTTGGCGCCCTATAAATATATTTTTTCCCGCGCCCCTTGGAGGTAGCCAGTACGGGCATGGTACTATTTGTTTAATCCCAGAGGCTAGCACAGTATCTTGCTGGATAGACTTAATAAGATAACCGTGGTTATATTTATTTATTATTTAATATAAAAGGATTATGATTTAAGGACGTGCCTTGGTGCAGTGTTATTGGTTTCGAAGAATATGTTATTTTGTACTTTTGTCAGTTTTAGTTTTTTGGATTCTTACTTTATTATATTAATTTTTCATTTGCATATTAAAAATATAAATTAGTTACCTAATATAATTAGGTTTAAATATAATTTACATACCTACCACTATCTTTTATTGACTTTTGAAAAAAAAACATGTCTAACAGACAATTTTAAAGTGGTGCATCCGTGCATCTAAAATGCGGAGAAAAATGTTCCAAACAATGAATTAAAAAAAAATATAAAGGATTGATGAATAATTTTGTATTCAATTCGGGTAATTGTACCCGATTCAAATTTGTGTCCTTTCATCGTAGGACAATATAGAGAATATACAGCCATTATCATATTAAGAGGACGCCACACCCGCATGTGTTGTCTCCGTCTTACAAACGCGTAACATAGCAAATTACGTCCACGGAAAACAAACGAATCGGCATCAAAAAGTGGTTTTAGAGTAAAAATACCTATAATAAAACTTAAAGAGAACAATATTTTGGAGGGAACCTCATCGGCGTTTTTAAAAATATTAACTATTAAAAAAGTTGTGGTTATTTAAAAAAATTAAAAAAAGAGTTTTTGTGCCTTCAATATCTAGCTGTGTATTTAGATTAATACAAAACCCCGATGAGGTTCCCTCCGAAATATTGTTCTCTTTAAGTTTTATTATAGGTATTTTTACTCTAAAACCACTTTTTGATGCCGATTCGTTTGTTTTCCGTGGACGTAATTTGCTATGTTACGCGTTTGTAAGACGGAGACAACACATGCGGGTGTGGCGTCCTCTTAATGAATAATGATATTTATTCTTAATTTATATTATACTAGCTCTAAGTATAACTCGGGGCCCGTTGGAATCGCTGAGAGTGGGTACCGATTTTGGAGACAATGAATTATAAAAGTCGCAAAGGTTGTAAGACGAAAGGTTAGGATTTGTGATAAGGATTAGTGATATGGATTGGAGATAAGGCTAGACGCTTTGGCGGGAATGTTAAAAGTTTGAGTGTCTAGCAATCCGTCACAAACGTTGTAAATGGATAGGCTGGATACGATCTCCAGGATCACCTATATAGAGTATAGCTGCACATAGAGTGGTATGTGCCGTAGCATAAACGGTGCTTTATCTTATGTAAAAAGTGTAAAGTTGAAAACCGTGTTGGAGTTTCTAGCAAGTCAGTCATCTCAAGTCAAAATCTATTAACTTTCAAGTTGGCCACTTAGGTAGGCAATCCGACTTCGTCGGATCGCGGACTATGTGCCACAGCAAATCAGGTAGGCAATCCACCTGCGGTGGATTGCAGACACGACATCAAGCGGCTATAAGTGAAAACCCTATCACACAACTTACGAAATTATTTACGAAAAATTCAAACTATATACATACAAACAAATATGATATGTATTTATTGTGTGATATAATATAACAATGAACATTTTGAGAAATGTGCAATTATAATTCCTAAAAAATATTAACATATAGGTAGGTAGTTAGATACATACTATTATATTAACCAATACATATAAACATGTACCTATAGTGTATATATATTAATTTAAAAAAAAATTGCAAAAACCTGCATGTTATTTGTTAAAGTGTCTATCAAGTCAATGATCACCGTTTAAGACGAAACTAAAATGAGCAATCCGTCTATCACCTATATATAGTAGGTATATGGTATATCACATAGAGTGGTATGTGCCTTCGCATGTCCGGTGCCTTTTCTTATGTAAAAAGTGTAAAGTCAAAAACCGTGTTGGAGTGTCTAGCAAGTCAGTCATCTCAACTCTCAAGTCAAAATCAAGATTAACTTTCAAGGCATACCGAAATAAAATACAAACTATATTTATATAACAATCATGGAAATTTTAAAAAATATGCAATTTTAATATTCCTAATAAAACAAATATAATAGGTATGTACCTATTTATTGTGTGATATAAAATGATAATGACTTTAAATAATAATAATGTACGATATGTTTCTGTATTATTATATTATTATTTAATTTATATGAAAAATAACGTGAAAAAAAAATGCAAAAAAAGTCGGGATTTGGGCGGCCGTGTAAATTATATGGCATTAACGGTTTCAATGCCTGGACGGCGTACGACGGATTTGAACCCGGGACCTACGTGTTTCCTGCCTAACGCCTAACCTACTCGGACACAGTTTGAGATATGAAAGACAGTGAAAACATCAACAATTAAGCCGTGCGACTACGGAGCGACGCAAACCGATATATTCGATGTACATCGATGTAATCGCATAGGTATAATTCGCTTGTAATACGCGCATCTCCCATATATATATTTAACGGGGCGTGTGAAAAGCGTTTTCCGTAAATAATTATTAAATCATAAGGAAAAATTAAATTATACACGTATATACATGTATATATACGCGTACGGCTGGTCGGTCGCCGGCGTAATTTCCAAACGCGATTGCGAGGCGAACGAACTGATTTCGGGGGAAAAGCGCATATAAACGGCTTTAAAAAGACGTCGACTACACGATTCGGGCACAAACGGGTGCGAATAGACGAAACGGTGGGAGAAAAGGAAAAAATCGGCAAAAAAGTCCGGTCGGGAGTGTATTTATTGATCGACATTGAACACGAATATAAACCGCACACCGGTTACTTCGAATTAAGTATATAAAAGGGCGAAAAGATATCGTGTAAAAACAGCTAATTTTCCGAAAATCGGCGAAATGATAGGAAAACAGGAAATAACGAAAAACGTTTTAAAACCGACCGCCGCCACTGCGAAGGTACGCGATTGGTCGCGCTATAAGGAATCGACGGGACACGGCCGGCGGGCTGGGGAAACGGAGCAGTGCTTCATTTTTTACGCCATGGGTTCGCTATAGCCGGCGTTTTCCTTTCCATTGGCCCCCAATATTATCAGTCAGCTGTTCTTCATTTTATAGTATTAGACTAGCTCTAAGTATAACTCGGGGCCCGTTGGAATCGCTGAGAGTGGGTACCGATTTTGGAGACAATGAATTATAAAAGTCGCAAAGGTTGTAACTTGTAAGACGAAAGTTTAGGATTTGTGATAAGGATTAGTGATATGGATTGGAGATAAGGCTAGACGCTTTGGCGGGAATGTTAAAAGTTTGAGTGTCTAGCAATCCGTCACAAACGTTGTAAATGGATAGGCTGGATACGATCTCCAGGATCACCTATATAGAGTATACCTGCACATAGAGTGGTATGTGCCGTAGCATGACCGGTGCTTTATCTTATGTAAAAAGTGTAAAGTCGAAAACCGTGTTGGAGTTTCTAGCAAGTCAGTCATCTCAAGTCAAAATCTATTAACTTTCAAGTTAGCCACTTAGGTAGGCAATCCGACTTCGTCGGATCGCGGACTATATGTGCTACAGCAAATCAGGTAGGCAATCCACCTGCGGTGGATTGCAGACCCGACATCAAGCGGCTATAAGTGAAAACCCTATCACACAACTTACGAAATAATTTACGAAAAATTCAAACTATATACATACAAACAAATATGCAGGGGCGTAGCGTGCATGTAAGCACTGTAAGCACTGCTTACACTTTAAATGAAAGAAAAAATAAATTTGATTAATCACGACTAATAGGTACATAATAAATGATTTTTAAAATTTTAATTTTATTTATAAAATATTTAAGTTATAGCTGGTGGTGGTTTTTGTTATTGTTTATTTGTGTCGTACGCTGTCTACTGATTACCAACTATTTTAAGAAAATCATCGATTGTAGGTCTATTTTTAATCCATTCTGTATTATGTTAACTGCGTAATCATAATACGATATACAGTGTAACACATTCTGAAATTGCTTACGCGCAACTGTTGTTTTCGAATAGTCTATAATGCCATAGTGGGGGTCACGTATTTAACTAGCGTTTGTAAGCACATTTGATTTTGCTTACGCGAGAAACAAGGAGCCGGAGCGACCAGTACGTAGCCCGACGCGTTCTAGACTGTAGTCGTTTTTACGTACACTGTCACTGTCATTCACCTAATAGACTTTTGAAGTATTTATACTTCAATTTCTTTATTTTCTCGAATTTGATTTGTACAACTAGTACCTATATTTTTAAAAATATTAAAAATTTTAAAAGGATAACATTCTTTTATACATAATTTATAATTAGGTATTTAGGTATAGTACCTATATTCTAATCACTTTTGAAAAATAACTTCACTGCTTACATCTTTTTAATACCCACGCCACGCCACTGCAAATATGATATGTATTTGTTGTGTGATATAATATAACAATGAACATTTTGAGAAATGTGCAATTATAATTCCTAAAAAATATTAACATATAGGTAGATAGTTAGATACATACTATTATATTAACCAATACATATAAACATGTACCTATAGTGTATATATATTAATTTAAAAAAAATTGCAAAAACCTGCATGTTATTTGTTAAAGTGTCTATCAAGTCAATCATCACCGTTTAAGACGAAACTAAAATGAGCAATCCGTATATCACCTATATATAGTAGGTATATCCCATAGAGTGGTATGTGCCTTCGCATGTCCGGTGCCTTTTCTTATGTAAAAAGTGTAAAGTCAAAAACCGTGTTGGAGTGTCTAGCAAGTCAGTCATCTCAACTCTCAAGTCAAAATCAAGATTAACTTTCAAGGCAAACCGAAATAAAATACAAACTATATTTATATAACAATCATGGAAATTTTAAAAAATATGCAATTTTAATAATTCCTAATAAAACAAATATAATATGTACCTATTTATTGTGTGATATAAAATGATAATGACTTTAAATAATAATAATGTACGATATGTTCCTGTATTATTATATTATTATTTAATTTATATGAAAAATAACGTGAAAAAAAAATGCAAAAAAAATCGGGATTTGGGCGGCTGTGTAAACCATATGGCATTGACGGTTTTATTGCCTGGACGGCGTACGACGGATTTGAACCCGGGACCTACGTGTTTCCTGCCTAACGCCTAACCTACTCGGACACAGTTTGAGATATGAAAGACAGTGAAAACATCAACAATTAAGCCGTGCGACTACGGAGCGACGTAAACCGATATTTCCGATGTACATCGATGTAATCGCATATAATTCGCTTGTAATACGCGCATCTCCCATATATATATTTAACGGGGCGTGTGAAAAGCGTTTTCCGTTAATAATTATTAAATCATAAGGAAAAATTAAATTCTACACGTATATACATGTATATATACGCGTACGGCTGGTCGGTCGCCGGCGTAATTTCCAAACGCGATTGCGAGGCGAACGAACCGATTTTGGGGGAAAAGCGCATATAAACGGCTTCAAAAAGACTCGATTCGGACACAAACGGGTGCGAATAGACGAAACGGTGGGAGAAAAGGAAAAAATCGGCAAAAAAGTCCGGTCGGGAGTGTATTTATTGATCGACATTGAACACGAATATAAACCGCACACCGGTTACTTCGAATTAAGTATATAAAAGGGCGAAAAGATATCGTGTAAAAACAGCTAATTTTCCGAAAATCGGCGAAATGATAGGAAAACAGGAGATAACGAAAAACGTTTTAAAACCGACCGCCGCCACTGCGAAGGTACGCGATTGGTCGCGCTATAAGGAATCGACGGGACATGGCCGGCGGGCTGGGGAAACGGAGCAGTGCTTCATTTTTTACGCCATGGGTTCGCTATAGCCGGCGTTTTCCTTTCCATTGGCCCCCAATATTATCAGTCAGCTGTTCTTCATTTTATAGTATTAGATTATGATCTTAAATCATAATATTGGTACTGTTACAGTTACTAACACTGACCAAACCGATAACATAACACAGATAATGCGGCTTTTTAATTTATTTTTATCAATAATTATTATTTTGTTTCCCAATTCGACTCGGGCTATGGGCATTCCACAAGATAACTTTGAAGTTTGAAAGACAGCATAACTAATAACTATTTACTATTTAGTATTTAGTATTTACTAAATACAAATTCGGTTTCATTTCACATTTTCGCACGTCATTAATAATTATTTCGATCAACAGTCAACGCTCATTATTTATCTCGACTATTGACTGCAATTATTCTCAAATAACTTGAAATCATGTTCGTTTGTAAACTAAATCCGATGCGATTCACAACTATTGCAAAGGTAACATTTGGTAGTACAATATGATTTATTTTATCAATTTTTACGTTTATTTAAACAATTTTAACTGTTGCTTAACCATAAAATATTTAGTTTTTGTATATTATATTGATTATTGATATAACTTGAGACTACCTACTTCATTGTTTTGTTTTTATTTACAGCATCAAAGACTGTTATCCAGAGAACCATCTATCCTGTCATCGATTGCATTGGCGAGGTTTAAGAGTAGTAATCCATTCAACACTGGAATTCTATTTGTTCCGCAACAAGAGGCTAGACTACATATTTTAACATAATTTTAACATCCATAAATATACAGCTATCATTTTTTTTTTAACCTATTCATAGTAAAGTTACTATAATATTAAAATTTTCATCAAGGAAAACTAAGAATATAAAAATAAAATTATGTTTATGAAGTATCGAGAATAATTGTTTTCTAGTAATTAGTCTGAGTTCTGCTCTTTTTTTTATCAAATCTATTTTATAAACGACTTGGGCACCTACCTGACATTAATACTAAGATGATTTTAGCGTACATATAATTAGTTATACAATTTGAACTAACGGTTGAACTATATTCAAACACACACGTATGTCCTTAAACCAACAAACTTGGATCTTGTAAGAACATTTTAAAAGTCCAAAACTAATGATAATTTATTTTCCGGAACAAGTAGCAACCGTAATTTATACTAATTAAATATGTTTTATAAGTATGTATATTTTGATACTGAAGTAGGTACCCCTTTACACTTTAGTCTCAAACTTTTTTGTGTAATATTTAATATAATAATATAATACTTTGTTATAGGCATGGATTGTTGAACGAATGGGTAAATTTAATCGAATTTTAGAACCAGGCTTAAACTTTTTGATACCTTTCTTAGATCGCATTGGTTATGTTCAGAGTTTAAAGGAATTAGCCATTGATATTCCTAAACAAACTGCTGTAACTTTAGGTTAGAATAAAGTTTAATCTTATAATTAATTTAAATATATTTATTTAATAATTTATATTTCAGATAATGTAACACTTAATATTGATGGTGTATTATATTTAAGAGTCAATGATCCTTATTTAGCAAGTTATGGAGTTGAAGATCCAGAGTTTGCAATTACTCAATTGGCTCAAACCACAATGAGGTAACAAAATTGATAAATCTAAATTGAATCAGTTTATCATGTCATATTAATGAAAATTATATTAGACTTGATCTAGTTTATCTTAAGATAACAACCCATAACAATTGTTTTCAAATAAAATGTGTTTGTTGAAAAAAATAGAAAACAAACTAAAATATTTGGTTATTTGACGATGTTTAAATGTAGTATGCCAGCACAAGTCTTTATTTAAATGTTTTTTTATTGTTATTTTTAAATTTTACACTATTATATATTAAAACTAATATTTTTATGTGATAGATCAGAATTAGGAAAAATATCTTTAGACAAAGTTTTTCGAGAACGAGAAAATTTAAACTTTGCAATTGTTGAAAGCCTTAATAAAGCAAGTGCATCATGGGGACTAGTATGTTTCCGTTATGAAATTCGTAAGATATTTATGTTCTCAATCTTATTTATTTTTTTATAATTATTATATGTAAATTACTGTTTTTATTTAATTTAGGTGATATAAAACTTCCTAATAGAGTACAAGAAGCTATGCAGATGCAAGTGGAAGCTGAGAGGAAAAAACGTGCAGCTATTCTAGATTCTGAAGGTATTCGTGAAGCTGACATAAATGTAGCAGAGGGAAAAAGACAATCAACAATTTTGGCTTCAGGTAACTTATTGGAATCTGTAGGTTCTTCGTAGGTATTAACTATTTTTTTAAAACATTAACTGTAGAGGCTGACCAACAAGAGCAAATTAATAGAGCTCAGGGAGAAGCCAATGCTTTATTAGCAGTAGCTGAAGCCAAAGCCAAAGGAATACGATTGATAGCTGATGCTCTTAAACAAACAGTTAAGTTTAAGTACCCCTAATGTTTTATTTTAAACACTTTAATAATAAATTACATAATATGAGTAAAATAGTATTTGCAATCAATTCTAATTAAGATGATAAAAAAATTACTATATAATAATCATTAAACATTAGACCATTATTTTCTGTAGATTCTAATAGATTTTTTTTCATTTTAGGATGGTTATAATGCTGCATCTCTTAAAGTAGCTGAATCATACGTAGAAGCTTTTGGAAAATTAGCTAAATCTACAAATACAGTTATTATCCCTAGCAACACTTCAGATGTTTCATCAATGGTGACACAGGTAAATTATGTTTACTATATTTGAATAATTACATGATTGTCAAGTATAGTTTAATTAGAACAAAGTGTTGTTTTATATAATATAGGCCATGTCCATTTACAAAACGCTGACAAGTAAATCTAAACAGTCAAGAAGATTGAGCGAGGAAGACAAATAATCTATTGTCAATGAACTGAATGCACATTAAATGAAAATATAATTTTATTTCATCTTATGAAAATTGAGAGGTTAAAACGGTGGTTACTAAAACTCATTATTTTTAAGTTTTTATTAATTATTAAACCTCACTAACTATATATTATAAACATATGTTTTTTACAAAAATATTTTTAAATCTTATTTCATTCATTTAAAAACTGTAAAAGATCATAAAAGCTACAGTTTAATTTTCATGGTATTTATGAATATTGAATCTAAATGAAATAATAAACTGCAGTGTAACTACTACCTACGTGTATTACATTACACAACTTATTGAAACCTTTCATTTTTGGGATTTTTTTTTATTATCTTATGGGTCTTTCTTAGTGTTCAAAAATATTTAATATAATATAATTATTTGATAAGTATTTACCTATATTAATTGCTATTTAAACAAAAAAATATTTATTGTTATTAATTGAATGGGCTATAGTTATACCACCAATATAGTAAATAGGTATTAAGTAAGAAGTGTTTTTTGATTAACTGTCTTCCTTGAAGCAAATCAAGTTCATTGTAGATGAGTGGATTAAAATTTCCACATATTGATATATCATACTCAAAGCTTTATCAAGATAAATTATTGAATCATATATTGTACGGTTAATAATTATTATATTGATTTTTAAATAATTACAAAATAATAGGTTTTTTAATTCTATTAGGTGGGCATATCCACATCCAGTCTATAGTAAATGTCTATTAAATAATATTTTCTATTCAACAATATGTTTCATTAATGACTTTAAAATGGTTTTACATTCACGTATCTTTGTTTTCTTACTAATAGTTTGCGGTTTCTTATTTACCACTTAAAATACAATTATCTGTGCATTTTGTATCAACATCATATGAAGTAGTTGATTATATTTTGTATGTAGGGTGTAGAGTGCCTTTCTATTTACTCATTGATTTCACTATGACCAATACAATGTTGTAAGTCGTCATCAAAACCCAAAATTGCGTAGAATTATAGAAATAGTAAAACATTGGTTCAAACATAGTATTTTATTCTTGATATGTTAGCTGCAATATATGAATACGTACGTAAGCAAATAGGTGTAATTTGACTATTTTTTGCACTTTCATCGTTATTTGATTAGCATTATTGGTTTGCATGGTTAATAATAATAACATTTTAAATTTATCATCGTCCAATCACAAGAATAATATAGGTATTCCAAGGTTAACAGATTCTCTATGCATAATCTAGTATCATTATTTAGATTGTAGATACCAGTTTACCTCATTATAGTGCGTTATATTATATGCAAGGGTATATTTAGAAATGTCTTATGGTGGGGGGAGGGACACAAAGATGGACCCCCATGTGCTTCCCTTAATTATGTATTTAATATATTAATCATGACAATCAATTAAAAGCGGTGAACTGGATATCTACTGATGCCTGATGGTTGGTGGGGTAAAGACACAGACTTCTATACTACATTATATGGGAATCTGTGGGTAAAGAGTATCATTAAATTCCCATCATACCATATTATTTTATTACGATAAAATCAGTATTATAATCTTCGTTATCGGAAAACATTTTTTTGAAATATCCACAAGCAATACCAATATTTTTAATATTGGATGAGGGGGAGGGCTGGTTTGATGTACATCAAAATTTGTTGTAGCTAACTGGCTACCTAGTTAATTTATACCAATGTTTACCCAAAATAAATATAATACGTAATTTGCGCTGTTCTACGCAGTACATCAGTATTGACTTTAAAGGCTACCTAATAACAATAATATATGAAATCATAAACATATTGTATATTATAATAATTAACAATAGAACAAATGCATTATTTTTGTAAAACATGAATAAATTAAATACCTAGGTACTGTGTATAATAAATAATAAGTACCTAATAACGAGATTACGACCGATCGGATATGCAACTTATAAAATATGATAATGTGACGGACACATAAGCATATCAACTTTTCAGGAATCATATGAAATGTTTTTGATTTTAATTAACTTATCATCTTTAAAAATACAAACATATTTGAATTTATTATGAAGTCTATTTAGAATCGTTCGAATCAGATTAATAAAAAAAAAATTTCAAAACTATTTATGTCCATTCAAATTTTTAAGAATACAAGTTTTTTTTCTGAATTTCAAGAGAGGTTTTTTCTTTTTAAGAATAATAAATTAAAAATGTGGCTCGAAGGATCCAAAGTTGATTGAACAACAAAACAAAATTTGTTTTCAAAATTATCATCTGTGTAAAACTCAAGTCGGTATGTTGGAATTCGTTTAAGTCTATGATTTACAACATTCCGCCATGAAATAAATTTGTTGTTAGGCATAATGTGACATGTGCATGCGAGTGCGCAACTTTATCTAGCTCGCCGTCCGTCACTCACCCTAATGATCATTACACACAAACATGCACCCACGTACTAAACAGATTATCTAAAAATTGCCTATACTCAACTCCTTAAAAACGGTCGGTATGGAATCCCCTTAAGGGAGCTGGAGCGTGATTAATTTTCTGTCGAAAACATCATAGCTCACGACTTCAATCACAACGCACAATATAATGTTCTGATATTAATTTTGAAAACAGATTTGAATTCATCACTAAATTATCTATGCTGTAACAATTTCATTTTTCTGATTTTTTTTTTTTTACTTAGAAATTTACTAACAAAAATAGTAAAAATAGATTATATTCATAATTCAAAATGAAATACATTGATATAGAATATGAAAAATGTACTACAGTTAAAGCATAGTAAATTTAGGGGTAGCAAATTGATTCGGTTACCTCTATATTGGCAATGGCTATAGCCTATGCCCTATAATTATTCAATAGTTCATTTTCAATATTTTTATAAGTAGTAAAATTTTCATGATGTAAATATTTTGGAGCCAGGGGGTCACCCACCCACCTACCAAAAAAATCAGGGGTAGCAACTGCTACCCTCGAACCGTCCAGTGTGTGCCACTGTAAGTACGACAGTCAAAGCATAGTAAATTTAGAGGAGAATTCAAATCTGCTTTCAACATTTAAATGGAAACATCCTACTGAGCGTAGTGATTGAAGTCACTGGCAGTATTTTTTGAAAATAAATGTTTGTCATTTTATAAAGTAATATTGTTATACCCGCAAGTATATTAAATTTCGGTTATTCCAAAACAGTATAGATTAAATTAGTAAAGTTCCTATAAATACTTAATACCTAATAAATCATGTACTAATGATTCCTGTGTGGCTGTGTATTTAAATTTTAAGCAGTTTTAGTTGACCCAGCAACTCAAGCTTTTTTTTCTGTTTGCAGAAAATGTTGTCTGAAAAGGCCACCAAAATGTAATATAATATAATAGGCCATTAGCCGGTCACTTAGACCGACGAAAACTAGTTAAAAGTTATAAATTATAATAATATACCTAATTATTAAATTATATTATAACTATTATGATATTCCGTCGCGTACTTACGACGACACACCAACCATTGGCGTAACTGAGGGGGGAGGGGCTTAGCTAGATTTAGCTTAGGAATTAGACTAAGATTTAGCTCCCCCCAAAAAAAATAAAAATATATCCATTATTGATTTAGATATAAACCCCCTATGGGTTATTTTAAATAAATAGTTTTATTAAGCTACGGTTTCCCTGCAGCGTCAAACAGTGAAATAGGACGGCCACGTCAGACGCCGACCTACGTCCAGACCGGTAGTGACGTTAGACGCAGCGTCCAGACGCTGCAGGAAAAACGTACCTTTAGCCCCCCCCCCCCCCCACCCAGAATTGTGACCCTAGTTACGCCTATGACACCATGTGAATAACAGTTAGGTATTCACTGTATGTCTGTATGAAATGCTATAATATAATATGGTGTGTAGTGACTATATAGTAGCAGTTGGTACTTAATTTGGGGAAAAATTGGAAAGGGGTGCAACAATTAAAAATAATATGTATACATACCTGCAGAATATTATGCATTTATTTTAAAATGATTTCAAACATTTTTTTTTTCATTTAGCATTTTTAAATTTAAAATTTAAATGATGGTTGATAAATGATAATTTTTAAATAATAAATCATTAATTTTTTTAGTTACCTATTTGTTTCAATTTTCAAGTATTGCATTTTGAGTTTTCATTTTAAAGTGAGGAAAAAGAAAAAAAGAAATGTTACATCGAGGACAAATGCACAAATGTATTTTTAGTTAGTAGTTACCAAATGTTTACTAACAATTTGTATAAGAAATATCCAGCATATTTTACCTATAACACCCATTTTAATTTTAAACATATACCTACGTCCTAAATAATCCTAATGTCCAATATTTCAATATTTTTTTTGGTATCTTCCAAAAAAAAAATAAAATCTTGATTATAACTTTTGAATGTTGGGGGGCTATACGCACTCTCCTCCGTCCACTTAATCAACATCTATATAAACTACAAGTATAGCCATAGCCGTATAGGTATATTATTTAAAATGTCCGGTTTTTAAAAAAAATAATAAATTTAAGATCTCTAGCTCAATCAGGTACGTCCCTGTGAGGGGGCGATCGCCCACTCTCCCTAATAAGTCTGTTTGATGTTCTGTTTTTGATAATAGATAAATACATTTTATAAATGTTGATAATTGTTCTGTGTTTCTACACTGATTATACAGACCGTTCATACAAACATGAAAT